AGGTAGTATGCACGTCTGTTTTAACTAAAATCAATTAATCTTCTATGCTTCATGTCAATTTCTCACAATGGGATTTCCTCTATATTTATTTAATTATTACTCAGATTTTATAACTGAAAATCTGACAAATGCTTTGAAGAAGCTTTGTGGATTTAGATACTTTTTATATGTCTGAATGTTCCAGGTGCTTTCACATGCCAGTGCCTTTACAGGTTACTCCCTTCACCTGGCCAACTCACCAGGAAACATCTCAGTCATCCTTCAAATCTAGCTCAAATATGTGGTTATCTCTTAAAATATATGTGGTGTTGGCGCATTGCTCTTAACAAAATAAAAGCAAATCTTTGAAAGAGGAAGGAAGGGTGGGAGGGTAGGGGAAGAGAGAAAAAAAAGGGGGGGGAGGGTGAGGGAGAGAAGGAGAGAGGAGGCTGTTATAAACGTAAGAGCTTAAATGCCCAGATCAATGACGTTGACCTTGCTGAGATGGTTTTTGGTAAAACAGAAATATAGTGCCAGGAAATGAACACAACATAGCCAAGCTGGACAGTAGTACAACTGCAAGTTCAACATGCTAGGGTGGGAAGTTAGACTTGGAGCCAGATGATCTGTAGGAGTAGAATCCAGGATCTGACATTTATCAACTATGGGAACTCAGGCAAATGACATAATATTTCTTTGTTTCAATTTCCTTAAATTGAAAATGGACCTCGTTTTATGTGGTCTGAGGACTAGATTAGACAATAAAGCTGAAGGGGTAGCCTATGTCATACTGGATACAAAAGGATTATAAATAGCCAGTGGGAGATATTCAATGATGTTAACCAGGAAGTGTCATGGTTAAGGGCGATCTATTTTCAGCTCAGACGTCAGTGTCAATAATGAAGTTAATTTTCCCAGCAAAAAAGCCATATTCCAGGCAGAATACAGAATGATGAACAGGTGGAATATGCAGAGCACTTATATTTTTTCCTATTGATAAAATAAGTTTCCTAAAATAAACTTAGAGGAAATTCAGAAGCTAAAAATGAGAATTTTTTTGGTGAACAAGTTCTTAACGAAACCTGACAATCCCAGCATTTGTAGTCAACAATTATTCAACCTGAAAACTCCAATTGGTACAAGACCGCTGTACTCATGGAGAGAGACCCAACAGGCTTGTGGCCGAGACCAGCCCAGGACACACAGAATGAGGCTGGCAGAACCTGAATAACAAGAACAGAATTAAAATATAAACCAAAACTATAACCAGAGTGGATCGGTCTATGTTTTTAATGTAAACAGATGCAATCACTTCAGTTTGGCATAGCTTGTCTCATGGTGATGGAAGGGAACTTAAAATTAACACTGGAACAATTTGTTATATATAATTTGCCTTTCAATTGTTTGATACAGTCCTTCGCAATCATTCTTTCCCCCCCCTTTTTCACATAATTTAAAGTGTAAAAATCCCTCTAACAAAAGCATATGTTAATTAGACCAGACAGCTGAATGACCTTCCGGATGATCTTCCAGACAAAGCCAGGGCTGCGAGGGCCAACTGAGGCAAGCAGGGCTCAGAGGGCTGAACTTCTTGCACAAATTTCATGCATTGGGCCTCTAGTTATATATTGCTCTATGAACTAAATCTTCACTACTTATCCATTGCAATCACATTTCCGGTTACAGAATACTTACACCAGCTAAGCAATGTACAGTTAGAGAATATAGTTTAGAAAATGTTTATACAGCACATCTGTAAAGGTCTTTACAGTAATTTGGGGGGGTGGATTAAATTATCAAGGTACATTAATTAGGTTTATTCATTCACATCCTTCTGTTCTATTATTGTAGAATATATATTTGGCCCAAATTCCTAACTTCCTTACAGTGAGATAAATAATGCTTCAGCACTAAGCTTTTAACATAGTTTAGTATATAACTGACAAAATATTAATGTTTCTATTAGAATCTAGGGCTGAAAAAGGTGGAAAAGAAAAAAAAATTGGAAGTTGCCTGTCTCATGCCTGATCGCACTCAATAGAACACCATGACCCAGGGCATTGAAAGACAGAAATATTTTAGGTAATTTCTGTGTTTTTTTTAAAACTCACCAGCTTGTTTGGTTTGAAGCAGTTGTTCCTCCAACCTTAGGTCATTCAAATATATAGCACAAAAAAGCTAACAATTGCAAAGTAGGTTAGAAGAAGCCTCGGATGACTTTTAACGGATCATTATGTGGCCAAAACACAGAGGTTTAAATTAGTAGCTTGAAATGTTCCATTTACCACACATCACAGGAAGTATGATTCTTCTTTTGGTTTCTTCACTTACATTCTTCCAAATCCTTGACCAGCTGAACTGTTTGTTCCAGGTCATCAGACCCCTTAGTAAAATAGATCCCAAAATTCAGGTTTACAAAGAATATGGCTGGCCACATATTGCTGTCAGTTCACTTATCAGAAAAAATAATGGTACACATCACACTCACATGTGCGCACATACACATACCAACCATGCACACACATGATTCCCTTAGAAGCATGCAGTAAATCCAAATTACCCCAAGGGCAAGTACAGGTATAAAGAGGAATTTTGATATGTCAAGCAATACATGAAAACTATGCCGAAATCTGATTTATAATAACTTTCAAAGTTTAAATTTTTACAATCTTTCCCAGGTGAAGTCACGCCATATCCCCTCCCCTCGGATCTCTGGCTGGCACCTAGCCCTACATCTCTACTGGCTTTAGGTTAAATTTCTTAAACCAGACTCTCAATTCCAATGCTAAAAGAAAATCAGTCCTATGAATTGTGAATTGTTGTTATGGAGATGGGGAGAGGGGGAAAGGGCCAGGGTCAAATTGAGCAAGGGTCAGCTAAATATAGCCAAGTGGGTCTTCATTTTTTGTTCGCCAATAGGTTTCTCACAAATGTTAATTTGCATTGTTAATAAAAATCTTTTTTTTTCTTCTTTTTTTTTTTAATAAATCTTTATTGTTAATATTATTACAAATGTTCCTCTTTTTTTTCCCCCTCCATTGCTCCCCTCTGTCAGGTTCCCACCTCACCCTCTGCCCTTCCCCCCCCCCCATTGTCCTCATCCATAGGTGCACAGTTTATGTTCAGTCTCTTCCCGCATCCCCCACTCTCTTTTCCCCCCCAAGAATCGTTAGTCCACTCCCCTTCCATACCTCTGATTCTATTATATTTACCAGTTAATATTGTTCATCAGATTTTTTAATTCCCTTAGTTTTTAGATTCACTTGTTGATAGTTATGTATTTGCTGTTCAATATTTTTATCTTTATCTTCTTCCTCTTCCTAAAGAACCCCCTTCATATAATTCTGGTTTGGTGGTGATGAACTCCTTTAGCTTTCTTTTATTTGTAAAGCTCTTTATCTTAATGTACATTGTGAATAAGGAAATGGACAAAGCCACAGAAAGCAGTTGAGAGGATTGGGTTTCCCCAGCAATGGAAGCCAAGCTTTCCACCTGCTCTAGCCGGCCTAGGTCTCCATTCAAGGATACAAAGTTTCAATTACAGAGGATAAATCCCAAGAAAAATGGCAGCAGCCATGGTGCTGGAGAGAGCAGACTAGGATTTCCCCAGCAAAGGAGGAAGCAAAGCTTTCCATCTGCCCTGGCTGGCCTAGGCCTCCACTCAAGGATAAAACGTTTTAATTATAGAAGATACATAAAACCAAACAGAAATGGTGGCAGCTGGAGTGAGCAGGGGGCTTAGCTCTGCTCCAGTCTACAAAGTTTCAATTGAAGATGGTAAATAAATTCTAGATACCAGGGCCTCCTCTTGAGTCACCAGGGAGTGTGACCAGACCGCAAACCATCACAAGCCCCTCACTCAGGGCACCCCACACCACAAGAGAACCCCCACCCTGATCCGGGACACCCTTCAGGGCAAACCAGCTGGCCCCCACCTGTGTACCAGGCCTCTATCCTATCTAATAAAAGAGTAATATGCAAATTGACCATCACTCCAACACACAAGATGGCTGCCCCCATGTGGTAAAAGATCCTGCTCCCATGTGGACACAAGATGGCCACCACAAGATGGCCAGCAGGGGAGGACAGTTGGGAGGCACCAGGTCTGTAAGGGAGGGCAATTGGGAATGATCAAGCCTGTAGCAGAGGGCAGTTAGGGGTGGCCAGGCTGGCAGAGGAGGGAAATTGGGGGAAAACAGGCTGGCAGGGGAGCAGTTAGACATCAATCAGGCTGGCATGGGAGTGGTTAGGGGGTGAACAGGCTGGCAGGACGAAGTGGTTAGGGGCAATCAGGAAGGCAGGCAGGTGGCATTTGGGAGCCAGCAGTCCTGGATTGTGAGAGGGATGTCCGACAGGCAGTTTAACATCCCTTCAGGGGTCCCAGATTGAAGAGGGTGCAGGCTGGGTTGAGGGACATCCCCCCACTCTGTGCATGAATTTCATGCACTGGGCCTTTAGTAACATATAAACTACTATAATATAATTCACCTGTCCAGTTTAATCCATTTATGTTAACTGTAGACACTTATATATTTAGATTTGTTATATTTGGATACATTTGTTACATTTTACTTATCTTGATTTTTATATGCTATTTTTAATCCTCTATTTTATTTTTATTAAATTATTTTGGCTGTTTCTTTTGTAGTTATCCTAAAAATTATATGATTGTTACCATTTTACCATTTTATCATATATATTTTACCATTAAAAATATAAAATTATTCAGTGTCTTAAGTCCTAAAACAATAATCTCAACAATCTTGCTACCCAAACCATGTTGTCTATGAACCTTCACCACTGACTGTACCTGAGAGCTTGTTTGAAATGCACATTCTCAGGTCCCTCTCTAGACCAACTGTTGTTGTCATTCTGCAGAAAAAGTGAGGACCCCATGAAAAATGTGGTTCAGATATCAAGTCTGATGATTACACACACACACACACACACACACACACACACACACACACACACACGAAGAGAGAATAAAATGTTCATTACTTACATAATGGAGCTTTCTTGGGAGAGTTACATGTGTTCCAAGTCTGAAAATGGCTACCAAGAGACAAGAAAGGAGATTGACTTGGAGTTTTTATGATGGTGTGGCCACATCAATTGGCACTGTGAGCAGAATGTTTAGACTATGACTACTACCACAGGCGTCTTTCTTCTCTTGCTTTGGCTTGGTAACTGGGTCTACTGACTGCTGGTGTGTTTTTGTTTTTTTTGCCCATTCTTGCATGAGTCTTGGTGCATCGGGCCTCTAGTAAACTTATAATTATGAGCCAGTAAAGAGAACCCCACAACCTCTGAGAAAGAAAAAGAGAATAAAGAAGGGAGGAAAGGAGTGGGGCAGAAGGAAGACAGAAAGAAAAGAAATAAAGAAAACTGGATACAGGGGAAGGAAACAATAACAGAAAACTGATACACAGCCACAGTTTGACACAATTGGAATTCCAAAATTTACCAAAAGCATTTATACAACAAAAATATAATCAGGTATTGCCCTAGTTGGTTTGGCTCAGAGGATAGAGAATTGGCCTGTAGAACCCAATCCTGGATTCCATTCTGGTCAAGGGCACATGATTGGGTGGTGCGCTTGATCCCCATTAGGGGACATGCAGAAGGCAATCAATAATTCTCTCTCATCATTGATGTTTCTTTCTCCTTCTCTGAAATTATATATATATTAAAAGCATAATATGCTAATTAGACCAGATAGCTGAACAACCTTACATGACCTTACAGACGAAGCTGGGGCACAAGGGTAGAGGCAAGCCATCAGCTGCGAGAGTCGAGCTCCTTGCTCGAATTTTCTGCATTGGGCCTCTAGTTTAAATATATATATATAATCAGGTACCGGTTGGTTTTTGCACATCTTAATCAAGACTGTTATATATGGGGTTTCTAATAAATTTAAACAAGGTATGCCCTGTAATCTCAGAAAAATTACTGAATATAAAATGAAGGATAAAGAGATATGCCTCATATCCAATATAATTGAAATTACTAATTCCAACTAATCAGCAATTTGTACACATTTTGCTATTATAGACTTGGCTTATAAATTCTGTTCAGTGTCTATTTCAACACAGTCTGACTTCACTTTCAAAGGAACATGGTACACTGATTGTGGGCTGAATTGTGTCCCTCCAAAATTCAATGGTTGAAGTCTTAACTTTCAGTACTTAGCTTTTGACTATATTTGGAGACAAAGCTTTTAAAAGGTAATTAAGGTTTTAAAAATGAAGTCATAATGTTAGGCCCTAACCCAGTATGACTTATGTACTTACAAGAAGAGGAGGCTAGGACACAGACAGCACACCAATGGAGGGAAAACCACGAGGGAACATAGCCAGGAGGCAGCCATCTGAAAACCAAAGAAAGAGGCCTGAGAAGATACCAAACTTGCTAACAGTTTGGACCTTGGAATTCTAGCATTCAGAACTGTGAGAAAATACATTCCTGTTGTTTAAGACAACCAGTGTGTGGTATTTTGCTATAGAAGCCCTAGCAAACTAATACAACACCTCTACTCACCTGGTCAACAGCTTTGCCATTGCATACAAACTTTACAGGATAAGATCTTAAAGGCATGCAACTTTCTGGGGAACACAGATTGAAATTACCGCTGATATCATATCCTCTTCTGAAGAGATATAATTAACACACTCATTAAGGACATACAAATACAAAGTATCTCACAAAGAGGAGATAGACCACTGTCCCTCACAGAGGACAAGGTGCTGCCCTCTCACTTAAATTCGTGAAAATTACTTGTTAAACTGAGAGCAGATCTATCACTGACACTATCAAGAAACAGCTATTGACCCTCTTGGTAAACACAACAGTGAACAAACCCAACATCTTTTAGGTCTTATGTGGGTTTTGAAGGCAACATATTCTTTTTATAAATTACACTATAATCATAAGCAATGGATTTTAAACTTTGGTTCAAGAAACCATAAGCGGACATATAAGATATTGTATGAATAGATTTCTGAAAGCACATTTTGAAATAAGCTTTAAACATTTTATTTATGTTTATTATATATCTACTAGTCTCAAAAGAATGAATTTAGTGAAAAGATCTGTCTGGAGTCTGATCAGGAAACTTAATTGCTGTAAGTGGAAGAATCATTTGGTATGGTGATACCAAATCTCAGCCAAGGCTCCTGAACCGAGGAAATTCCTTGAATCTTCATTCAATGCATGCTGCAGTGTTAGATTAATCCATTTGTTAAAATTCCATGTTACAACAAAACTCTAAAGTTCTTTGAATTTGTAATTGTTAATGCATGTATGTATAATGAAATTAGATATGTTGTACTTAAACCTGTTTACAACAACATAATACAAAAAAACTTGAAAAGGAAAGAAATCACATCATTTTATTACTCTTACATATGTATATGCTATTAGAAAAACAAGAAATGAAATGGAAAAACAGCTTTTGTAGTGAAACAGACAGATTTCAAGGTCCACATGTGTTGGTAGCTTTGAGATCTCAGTATTTTCTCTGAAGTTCTCATCTGTAAAATGGAATAATATCTATATATATATAAAAGGATAATATGCAAAGTGTCCCCTCCGGAGTTCAACCTGGAGTTTGATCACTTACTATAATGTGTGCTGACCACCAGGGGGAAGCACGGAATGCAAGAAGGCCCCAGCAAGCAGCTGGCAGCCAGCAGTCAGGGAAGGAAGGCCCCAATCAGCCTGATTGACAGCCAGGCCTAGGGACCCTACGCATGAATGAATTTTATGCACTCGGCATCTAGTATCCTATGTAATAAAAGAGTGATATGCAAATTAACCACCACCCTGCTACACCCACATGCCATGCCCACCATCCAATCAGAAGCAAGCATACAAATTAACTCAACCAAGGTGGCTCCAGCCACAGAGCCAGCAGGAAGCTTAGGTTTTCCCGGCAATGGAGGAAGCCAAGCTTTCTACATACCCTGGCAGGCCCAGGCCTCCACTCAAGGCTACAAAGTTTCAATTATAGAAGATAAATAAATCCCAACAAAAATGGCGGCGACCATGGAACTGGAGAGAGCAGGAGGCTTGAGTTGCCCCTGGCAATAGAGGAAGCCAAGCTTCTGCAGCCCTGGTCTGTGTTGGCCTCCTCCGCTCAAGGCTACAAAGTTTCAATTATAGAGGATAAATAAATCCCAGATAGCAGGGCCTTCACTTGGGTCACTGGGGGGCATGGCTGGCCTGCAAACCACCACAGGCCCCTTGATCAGGCCACACCATGCCCCAATGGAACCCCCACCCTGATCTGGGACACCATTCAGGGCAAACCAGCTGACCCCCACCCGTGCACCAGGTCTCTATCCTATCTAATAAAAGAGTAATATGCAAATTGACCATCACTCCAACATACAAAATGACTGCCCTGATGTGGTCAAAGATGGCTGCCCCCATGTGGACACAAGATGACCGCCACAAGGTGGCCAGCAGGGAATGGTAGTTGGGAGGGACCAAGCTTGCAAGGGAGGGCAATTGGGAGTGATCAAGCCTGCAGCAGAGGGCAGTTAGGAGTGACCAGGCAAAAGCAGTTAGGGGCAATCAGGAAGGCAGGCAGGCGAGCAGTTAGAAGCCAGCAGTCCTAGGTTGTGAGAGGGATATCCAACTGCTAAACAGGCAGTTGGACATCCCTAAAGGGGTCCCAGATTGGAGAGTGTGCAGGCTGAGTTGAGGGTCACCCCCCATGCACAAATTTTGTGCACTGGGCCTCTAGTACTTTATAATCCAGTTGGGAGGTTCAGTAATGGCTCAGATAAAGTTTCTAAGATAGAATGGATATGCTAGAGAAGTGCAGCTATTTAGATATGATGAAGCTCTGGTGAATATCATCTCAATATACTAAGGTTGTGGGTTCAATCCCCCGTTAGTGCACATACAAGAATCAACCAATGAATGCATAAAGTGGAACAACAAATAGATATTTCTCTCTATGTCTCTCCCTTCTTCTTTCTCTCTCTTAAAAAAAAAAAAAAAATCAATGAAAAAAATTTGAATAAGATGAAATAGGGCCTTTAGTTAAATTTACATTTTAAAACAGAACTTAATATACATAATGTCTTTGTGTGGATATATATCTACATCCATATATAGAGATGAATAAACATATAATAATTATAAGAAATAGGATTTTAATTATACTAGTGGCCCGATGCACAAAATACATGCACAGGAGGAAGGGGGGTTCCCTCAGCCCAGCCTGCACCCTCTCCACTCACCTGCCTGCCTGCCTGATTGCCCCTAACCTCTCTTCTCGCCTGCCGATCACCCCCAACTGCCCTCTCCTGCCAGCCTGATCTCCCTAACTGCTCTCCCCTGCCCGCCTGATTGCCCCTAACCGCCTCTGCCTTGGCCTTGCTACCATGGCTTTTTCTGGCAGACATTTGGAAGGTCTCCTGGTCTAATTAGCATATTACTCTTTTATTAGTATATATTATTTTTATATAAATGTATTAAATGCAATATAAATAATTATACAATCTTTGTATTACATGTGATTTATATATAATCCATGTCCACATCTGCTTGATGCAGAAAATGATATTCAACGTTTTTGAATGAATTTATTCAACTTTGCTTGAACCTCTCCATGAACCTCAAAAGATTGTATTTCTTTTCAAGGCAGGATTAACTGTGAGTTAAGCACATCTGCTTCCTGATGGCTTTTCTCTTGGTCCCACCACTTTTCTCCTTCCGAACTGATATTTAAAATAATTTTTTATGTGTTACTTTCCTGTTTGCCTTCCAACAGAGCTATTCAAGCTCAACAGTCCTGCTCTGAGTCTATCTCCCAGGTCTACACAGAACAACAGAGATGTGTTTGAGCCACATGTAGTTCGTGAAAATTATTAGTTCTTTTTTTTCAAACCTATTTCTTTTTAAAACTTTTATAAAATCAAAAGGGGCATTAATATCTTAAGAAACTCCTTACTGTTAGTTCATGTTAAGTTCTATCAACTATAATTCTTAATTGATACTTAACAGTCTCTTTACTTGAACATCGGATCATTACTAGATAGCAGAAAAGAATCATAACAGTAATTTGAGATTCCTTGACCTCATAATGCTTGGTATTCCTGATGTAATTCCTATTAATTCTACCTCCTTGAAAACAAAACTATAAAATTCTCCAGGCACAATTTGTAACAGAATGTAGTTAAATCTCATCATAAATTTACTCTTTGTCAGTGTAATTTACTCACATTGCCTCTATTTAACTCAATTTAAGGCCATTAAAACCTAAAATATGATTCAAGTGCTTGTTTTTGATATAATTCATTATTCATTTATGTTTTTTTAAGATGAATGCAGTTATATTATCTCCAAGTGAAATTAGCACATTCAATAAGCAATACAATATTGAATATCTAAAGTTTTGCCATTATGGCAAGGTCAAATGTGGTATTTTCTACCCTTTTGATTCACATTCATGACCCAAATGAGGTTACTGCTTATGCACAGAGTACAATTATATCAAGGCTAGGCAAGAAGACCTTTCTAGAACAAGATAGAGCCCCATCCCCCTTGATTAGTATCATTGTTAATGATATATTACCTAGTTTCCTAAATATTAACATAGTAGATCTTTATCCCTATTATTGAGTCTAACTTCCTAAACTATTTATAGTGATAATGTGATAGTTTTTCAGTTATACTTAACTGTAGCTCTGTAATGATTTTTTTATTAAGATGGAAAAATGTTCCTCTACAGTACACTGAAATTAGATATAAAATATAAGCTCCATAGTAAAACTTATCAATTTTCCTCTTGAAAGAAGCCAAGCTATAATTCTATTTAAGAATATACTCTCACATTAAAGTTCTCACAGCTCAAATTATTTAAATAAGTATGTGATAAATAATACTGCTAAACTTAGTTTTAAAAAAGAAACAAAGAATAATAATGGATTTCAATACATTTATATTTTGGAAAAGATAGATATGTGAGTATTTACATTAAGTTAAAATGAAGTATAAAAATATGTCAAACAAGGTAATTTGGTAATTGTGCCATAGTAAATCAAGGCTTTTTTTTAGTTGTCAGGCATTTGTGAGTACATTAAGAAATAATTTTGCTTGCTTTCCCATTATTTTGAAGCATAACTATAACATTACACAATTGGATTTGATGTTATTTAATGAATAAGAGTAGTAGATCTTCTTGAATCTATATTTTGTGTTACAGTGAGATAAGTATATTGGAGTGAGTTAATCTAATTACACTTACATTGACCTCATTTGTAAAAAAAAAAAAAAAAAAAAAAAAAAAAAAAAAAACAGATTTGGAAGCATATGACACACATTGAACTATTTCATTATTGTTTCAAAATTCTGGTTTTTCTGGACAGATATGTGTCAGTTGAACTGCAATGATGCATGATGCAAGCAACTGCTTATCTTAGTGTCAGCTTTCACATGAAAAACTATTACACAAATTCCACCATTATCAGAATGACTATGTGCCAATTCAAACACCAGGGGGATAATTTTGCTACAGATTTTGAAATAATAGTAAGGTGCATTTCCTTATAGATATGCTGTCTTTTAACTCTCCATGTCCTCAGAAAATTCACCAGCCTTTATAGAAATGATTCTCAAATCTATAGGTCACTATTAATTTCTTCCCTGAGCTCCAGATCTGTTGCTTGGATATTGCCACTCTGATATCCAATATGAAGCCAAATCTACTTATTTACATATAAAATAAAACTTCTTTGAAATGCCTTTTTTACATGGTTGATATTTTTTCTCCTAACCTTCCAGTTTCAAAAGTAATCCATTGCTTTTCTGTATTTTCTAAAATCCTCTTAGTCCACAAGTATAGTCAAATGTGTCACTTCCTCTCCATTTTCATGGCCACTTCCCTATTCAAGGTCTTCACTAATTCATGTGTAGTCATAGATGTTAAGTTCCATTAAAAATATTGCAAATTTTTCTTTTAAAAATTTGATCCTGTTTCTGTTCAGATTTTCACTCAAGTCCTAAAAATTTTAACGTTTAAACTGTTAAATGGTCCTTGAAAATCATAGATCAAAGAAAAAGGTACTAGCATAGTGAAAGTAGTAAAAAAAAAAAAAAAGATAAAAAAAATAACTAATTTTTTTCAGAGACAATATTAGTTTATCTTTCTAACTGGATTGTTTGTGTTAAAATATCAAACAGGCTAAATAACTAGGGAGAAAAGAATAATGTAGAAATTAGATGATGAGATATAAGCATTTTCAATTCATTCTGGAAGAAGATAGAGAAAAAATGAAATAAGGAAGGAGACAAATTAGAGCTAACTTAACTTTCTAAAAGTGTTTATATACACTATAAATAATATTATGGTATATATATGTAATATAATATATAGAATATTGCAATAAACTCCCATTGGTCTTTCTACCTGTTGGAACTTTTCTTCTTCAATCTATCTTGCACATGAATTTTACAAAACCATTCCTGCATACATTATTTTCACGCTCAACATCTTCATTGGTTCCTCATGGCCTGCAAAATAAAATACACAATACTTCATTTAGAATTAAGGCTTGCATAAACCTACCCTTCAGCCACTTTTATTTTTTGTTTGTTTGTTTATTGTGTGTTTGTGTTTATTGATTTCAGAGAGGAAGGAAACATCAATGATGAGAGAGAATTATTGATTGGCTGCCTCCTGCATGCCCCCGACTAAGGATTGAGCCTGCAAACTGGGCATTTGCCCTGGCTGGTAATCGAACACTGACCTCCTGGTTCATAGATTGATGCTCAACCATTGAGCCACACCAACCAGGCAAGCCACTTTCTTAAGTGGTCCTGAACCGAATAAATCTTCTGGCTCCACTAACCTTTCCATAATCATTCTTCCAATCACAAAGTTCAATATTTTTGTGTTATTTTATTCCTCCATTTCCAATAGCTAGCTATCCAAAAGTGACTGTATCACTTGAGTCCATTTTCTTATCTCTAGTTGCACTGAAAAAGCATGATTTCCTATGTTAGGTACACTCTCCCTGACTCCTGTCTCTTCACTTTCTATCTTCCTGTACTCAAGTATAAGACTGATTTTCCAATCTTGCTTAGACCTTCCCCTGAACCTCTGAAGAGCTTTCTCTATATTCCCCACTTATCTACCATACGCTCTTGGACTCTGTGCTAGCTTGACCTCACAAAAGTAGGAGTCTCTTATGTGTGTCTATTCATCCTAGTTGCCATGGTTATTCTTTTTTAGAGTTAAACTCTTCCTATTCTCAGCCTATATCACTGGCTTACTTCTTTTCACCTATGAAAATTTGCTCGATAAAACATTCGGCTCACTTAGCCCACAGTACACAACAGATTCTCTGTGGAACCACTCTCCCAGCTCTTTTTTGTCTAGACTTCCTCATGTTATTCCTTCTACCGCCCCTGAATGAATATATGAAGTAGAGTCATGCTCTAAGAGATTTAAAGTGACTACAAACACAATTCTTTTTTCATATCAGTGAAAGCTGTGTAACACATAAAATATAATCATTATTAGGTTTCATTGGACCAGGTAACCCTCAGCTAAATCCAACTACAAATATCATCTTTACTAACAATCTAAATGTTACAACCTCACTCAAACTCAACCCCTCTTCCTTCTATCTCACTGTATGATGAAACTTTTGTGGATCAAGTAGATTTTACTTCACCTTACTAGTTTTAAAAGAATGAGAAAAATACTGCCGCAAAGGATTCTGAATTTTTAAAAAATACTGAGAAAGCTTTGTAAGCTTATAGTGGTAGCTTCCTGGTCCTGATTAGTGCATTTGATGTGTAAAGCTGGTAAACTAATCAGCTGAATCAAAATTTAGGCATTACAATCTTTATATTACAATAAACGTACATCTTCAAAAGGGCTGAAGGGGCGATGGTAGCGCCAGTTGTGCTAATGTTAGAATATTGATTTTCCTGGAGTTTCATTTTTCTCTGCTTTGCAAGCCATAATTCTATTCTAATTTCTATTTCTAAATCATGTGTGTGTGCACATATGTACACACATGGGGGGGTGTGTGTGCGCGCACGCGCGTTTTTTTTTTTTTACTAATATTTCATACCATATACTCCTAATTGTGACTGGATTCCTGATGCCTTGCTTTTTCTTATCAAATAACATTAAGTAACCTTAGTAACCATGGTTACACACCTGGCACTAGGTTTGATTCTCCAGTTTCTGGACCTCCTTTTCTTTCTCTGATGTCCAATAACCAATCATTCTATCTCTGCCGATGTTTGGCACTGATGCCTCTCTGAGAACATGTATAGGTACTATTTCATCGTTCTCCTCCATTATGAATCTTCCTCTTACTGCTGATTTTTTTCTAACAAAGTATGTATTATCCACTCTTATGTGTTATGTAGTGATGTGGCTATATATGTTTAATTTCCCCATGAAGAAAATGGGCACTTGTTAAAAGATTTATTTAGCATATTTCATAAAAAGTATAGAAAGGGAGAAGGAACACAGGCATAAAGAACAAACATGGCAACAACAAAAAAGTACCTATCAATAATAACCTTAAACGTAAATGGATTAAATGCTGTAATCAAAAGACATAGGGTAGCTAAAAGGATAAGAAACATGACTCATATTTTCTGTCTACAAAAGACTCACCTCAGAACAAAGGACACACAGACTGATGGTGAAGGGATAGAAAAAATTTTTCAGGCAAATGGAAATGAGAAAAAAGCAGGGGCAGAAATACTTATATCTGATAAAATAGACCTCAAAGTGAAGGCCATAACAAGACATAAGGAGGGCCACTTCATAATACAAAAGAGAGCAATTCAACAACAGGATATAACTCTAGTAAAAATATATAGACCCAATACAGAAGCAACCAATTACATAAAAAAATCTTCTGAAATATATAAAGGGAGAGATTGACAGCAATACAATCATAGTATGGGGACTTTAATACCTCATTGACACCACTAGATAAATCCTCTAAACAAAAAATCAGCAAAGAAACATCAATTCTAAATGACTGACTAGATTAGATGGAACTAATTGACATCTTCAGAAGATTTCACCCCCAAGCCACACAATATGCATTCTTCTCAGGAGCACACAGGACATTTTCAAAGATAGACCACATATTAGGATACAGGCAAAGTCTATTCAAAATCAAGAAGATAGAATTCATGTTAAGCATCTTCTCAGATTATAATGGCATAAAATTAGAAATCAACTACAATAAAAACAGTGAAAAAAATCAAAGTTGGAGGCTAAATAGCATGCTATTAAACAATAATTGGGATACTGTTTGTTGATTTATCCAGGCTCGCCAAGAAACAGAGAGGACCCAAATAAACAAAATCAGAAATGAAAGAGGTGAAGTACTAAGGATTATAAAACACATACACACACACAAAGAAAAAAAAAACAAAAAAAAAAAAAAAAAAAAAAAACAACTATGAACAACTCTACTCCAGCAAACTGGATAACATAGATAAAATGAACATATTCCTAGAAAAATATAAGCTTCCAAATCTCAATCAGGAAGAATAAAAAAAATAAAAAAATAAAAAAAAACCAAAAACGTGAATAGGCCAATAACTATGGAGGAAAATGAAACAAATAATAAAAATACTTCTAGTAAACAAAAGCCCTGACTTCTCAGGGAAGTTTTACCAAAGATTCAAAGAACTAAAACCTATCCTTCTTAGAGTATTCCAAAAAATTCAAGAAAAAGATACACTTCCAAGCTCTTTCTATGAAGCTAGCAATACCCTAATCCCAAAACCAGATAAAGACACTACAAAGGAAGAGAACTACAGGCCAGTATCCCTGATAACATAGATGCTAAAAACCCCAACAAAATTCTAGCAAATCAGATTGAGCATTACATTAGAAAGATCATACACTATGACCAAGTGGTATTTATTATGGGGATGCACGGTTGGTATAATATCCACAAATTGATACATCACATAAATAAAGGATATATGCACCCTTATGCTCATAGAAGCACAATTTAAAATACCTAAGATTTGGAAACAGCTTAAGTGCCCATCAGCAGATGAGTGGATTGAAAAACAGAGGTACATCTACACAATGAAATACTATGCTGCTGTAAAAAAGAAGAAACGCTTACCATTTGCAACAGCATGGGTGGAATTGGAGAGCATTATGTGAATCGAAATAAGCCAGTTGGAGAAAGATAAATATCACATGATCTCACTAATTTGTGGGATATTAAGAACAACCTAAACTGATGAACAAAAATAAAGCCAGAGTCATAGAAGCATGGAACAGAACCTAAGAGGAAAGGCAGGGGAATAGGGGGTGGAGAGGGGAGGTTTGGGATCAACCAAGGACTTTTATGAATGCATATGAGCATAACTGATGAACACAGAGAGTTGTGGGTGAGGGCATGTCCTAAGGGGTGGGAGCAGCTGGGAAAGCTCAATGCGGGGAAAAGGAGACATACTTGAAACAGTAAAGAATTTAAATTTAAAAAAAATTAGGATATTTTCCCAAGGAATCAATTAAAAGCATAAAAATCTTAAAGTAAATTTGTAATTGAGCAAATATTGAATAGGGAATTGATATTCTGAAAGGTTTTAGTAAAAAATTCTTTTTGGATATTGCAATTATGAATTGAAACAATACAGTAAATTCATCCTGTCAGATATTACATAAAGTACTTCCAGAAGAGCAGAAGATACATTGTTTAGAGATGTTCTTGGTATTCATAAATCAACTTGAACATTTACGAATTAAGATCTATATTAAATGACTTCAGCTAAATAGGAGAGCTTTAAACTTTATCTGTATTGTTTCCCTGGATGGCATCTAAAATTATCTGAAAGCTTCTTGATAAATCAAAACCAGGAATTTTCAGAGCTAGTTTTGTGTCTCAATCTACCTTAAAGAACTTTTCAGCCTTGAAACCGCATCATTTTGTATCCAACAGAGCTTCTAAGATGACAAGAGAAGTTGTTAAGGATATGTTAAGCCTCTTATGGTGCTGCATTATTGTTGAAAGGGAATAGCAAGCATCCGTCCTTCCTAATAAACCCCTGAGATGATATAAACATGAATTTAAAACACTTTAAGATTTTTCTTCAAATGACTCAAAGCTTGGAGTTAAAACTGTCTATTCACTATTATTACAATAATTCCTAAAAAAAAATGATCCCTTATAATTCATCTATATGATTGTATCATTGGCAAAGAGTTAAAAGCATCAGTATTTCTTACCACATCTAGTGGGGAAGTAAATTATTATTCATTCCTTATTTAATTAACACAACAGTCACCTAGATAAGAGGGTAAAGATACATCTTTGGAATTTTCAGTTTCATCTCTTCTGGTCCTACAATTAAGCCCTTAGGTATTAGGCTTTAAATATAACTAAATTATAACCTTATCTATATTCTATGAGATCAAGGTATACGCCTGATTTGCTCACCTCTCTAGTGTATAACACAGTGCTTGGCACATAAACGAGCTTAATAATTATTGTATGAGTAAATGAATG